ACAGAGTTCGGTCCAACTGATTATCACATTTGTACCGTCAAGCTTTGAACAAAATCTGTAGTGGCACTAGTATGCGACCCCAGGAGGAACTCATTAATAAACTACTGATTTAATACACAGCCCATAATATAAACTTAGGTAGTAAAGGTGAAAATATGCATTTGTTCTCCATACCACTTCTCTCATATTTCTTTTAACCAGCAGATTCTATGAATCGATGATGAAATTCTGCTGCCCCAGCAAACGGAAACCGCCATTACCGAAGACCTTGGAACCTACAAATATTCTAAATAAAACCTCTGGCCCAATTACCAGTCAGCCGTGCTCAAGAACTACAAAAATAACCAACCTTAGAGGAAACGAGGTGTATGCGCTCTACGACTACTCACCCGCTTTGTCCACTGAGCTCGCATTTCAACGGGACGATGAGCTTACGGTAATCGACCATTTTGACCAGCCCTGGAGAACTGCAATTAACAGGAGGACCGGTGAACAAGGTCTAATTCCGCATAACTACGTGACAAATGACGCGACAATTGCTGGTGTTTTGTCAGCTTGGTATCCAGTTGGTCGAATTGAAGCAGAGAAAAAACTACTAATTCCTGGAACGGAAACTGGAACTTTTCTTATTCGGCCCTCAAGAGGTGCGCCTTTTTGTTTGATTTTCTGAGTGCAATTTTCCGCTTTGCTGTGTAAGTTGATGAGGGTTTCATAAATGCATCGAAGAGGTTTAGTTGCGTTTTTGCAATGAGATCTCTGTAGGGAGTGAAAGGAGTAGATATGAAGGAGCTAAATGACTTTGCTGTAAAAACAAGTAGGCTTTATTATACTACTGAAAGGTAGTGCAACTCTGCTTGCGTGCAGTAGACATATTTTAACTTAACAAAGGTGACGTAATTAAAAAATCGACACCAGATCCTAACATTACTTTTTTGTAAGCATTTACTTATTTATTGGGTATAGTTGTGCGGTTTTGTTATCAACAATGACGTTATGATAAACGCCTTAGAGATGGAAGTAGACAACAAATGCATACACGTTAATGTGCGTAAGGATTAGCACCCTTTTAAGAATAAAAGCTACCTCATCGTATATTAGTGTCATTGATATAATGACTCCTGAGATTCCTTTAGCCATAGCAGTCCCACTCTTCTGCGGTAACCAGGTTTCAGTGGTTACAAGTGGAATTTTGTCAAGTGGCCCTTGTGTACTTCTCTGATGAAAAAACATTAGCTATTTGAGGTCAGTTTGGAGACACACCTAGTTTTTCGTTTATATCATGCATAAAAAGGGATAATCATGTTGTCTACCAGTTTAATGGTCTTTTTTGACACATTACCCATTAAAGTCCGGATGTTTTACTGTTCTATTCTGACAACAGTGGTCGTCAGTTTTTCAATTTGTTAAACTCACTTTCTATAACTTAAACCATCAGGCCACTTGAAAGACGTTTTGCTGTTTTAAATTAACCTCTTTGTTTTCTACTCGACTTATTTCATTCACTTATTTTAAGTTGACGAAATACACCTGCAGAATATTCGTGAAGGCCTGACTAGGTTAGAAAATCAGAACATCAAGCGTTTGTATCTTTGGTCAGAAACAAGCTTATTTGCTATGCATTAAGAGTAAGATCGGCTTCACCCTCAGTACTAGGCCTATTAAGATTGAGAGGTCTCACAAATAACTTGTGCTAACTCATTTTTGTTTAGGACTAGGTTCCAATGCGTGTGTGTGTCGAATTGTTACCGGCGACTTATTCAGCATATCGCTATATCAAAATCATGCCAACAAACCAAACTTTGGAGTAATTTGTTGGTACTTTAAGACTCGTTCAATTGCTATTGTTACGAAATTTGATTACCTTGACGCACTTTCATCCCAAAGTAGATAAATCTTTTCATTTGACACAGCCAGTCATGAGGGTGACGTTTACTGGGGTTCTGTTCAACACACTGTCTTCCCATAAAATCAAAAATCTGTTTATTTGAAATTAGTGGATAGTTTACGTAAGACAAATAAGTTTTGGCCGTCACCCTTTCTGTTATAGGGCCAATGACCTACGTCCTATCATGCAGAACCCTATGTGAGGGTGTAGTCAAAATCCGTCATTTTCAAATATGTCGCACCAACGACTCTAAAGACCTTTACATTGACAAAGCATTTCCATTCGCGACTTTGAATGATTTACTTGGTTTCTACAAGGGTAAGTTTATATTGGATAATTGAGCAATGTAGAAATCGCTTTACTCACCCCGTATTCATTCATCCACCCATCTATTTATTTGTCAAAATCAAATTTGAGTTTTATGGATTAAGCTTAAATAGTATATGCACTTTAATCTTTTAAGGCACTCAAGTTGTGCCGCTCAAACGTCTTATACATGCAAAATTTAGAAATTAAAATGCATAATTCAAGCAAAATTTCTTTGAGTTTCTTATTATCTCATTAAATGATGTTTATTTTAAAATCATTGCTTACCAAAAGTCCAATTAAAAAATACATATTGAGTGCTTAAACCTGTCACTATGGCTAGAATGCTCTTCAAGTTAACCCTTTTTGCTGTTTACCAAAATTTTTAACTGCTGTCTCTATTTCCTTGCTATTAAGCAGTAGTACCCATTTATCGTGTGCTGTTTCTAGAACATCCACTCATCGACGACTGCACACTGACAAAACCCTGCTCTCGAGAAAAGCCCCAAACACCATTCCATAAAGCCGAAATAAGTCGCCAATCAGTACAAATGATTCGAATCATCGATAAGGGAAGCTTTGGTGAAGTATGGCTCGGTCGAATCCAGAGTGTTGAGGTGGCTGTGAAGATTCCGCTGGTCACGGCGTGTAGGGATGATTTCATTCGAGAGGCACAGAAGATGCACACTATTTGGCATGCCCAGTTGGTGCAATTTCTTGGTGTTTGCACAAAACCACAGGAAGAATCGGTTCTCGTAATCACGGAGTATATGCCAAATGGAGCGCTGGATAAGTACTTGCAGACAGAGGAGGGAAGGAACTTGCAACAGATCGATCTACTCTCCATAATGGATCAGGTGGGATGCTTGATTTTAAATTATCCTTTAAGAACTAATAACTTTCCGTTCGATATGGTTAAGAACGGAGTGAGCACTCTCCCTAGTTTGGTAGTTGATATTTGAGGTTTCAGAGGTGGATCGACCATCACGGAAGGAATATTGTAGCATTTTGCCCGATGCAAATACTGATCGCAACTAAGCTAATGCATTCACTATTTAGCTTTATTGTTTTGAGTTAATCCGTTTACCATACAATTAGATAAAACGAGTTATAAAATTCTGATAAAGTCTCAAATCACATCTACGTGACACTGGAAGCAAACACGTTAAGAGCCTGGGAATTACCATATGAATGGAATAAGGTATAGAAATTCCTCTCAAGGTCGCAAATGGTATGGTCTACTTGGAGTCAATTAAATTGGTTCATCGCGATCTCCGAGCTGCTAATGTTTTCGTGGCCAAAGACGGTCGAGTCAAGGTCGGCGACTTTGGTCAATCAAAAATGCTCTCCATGCCGTCGTCTTGCCCTACTGGTAGCTTTTTTCCAACTTTCTCCTTCATAAATCCGAATATAACTTGTTGATGTGCATTTTTAGGGTACATAATATTGCCCTATTTTTAAAAAATTTCGTGCTCAAGAATTTGATAAATCGGTCTAGTAGGATTCATATTAATTCCTTTTTTTTTATTTTCGCCGCAGATCTCAAAACACCTATTCGCTGGTCGTCACCGGAGGCACTGATTAATGGCAAAGAGGTCACTTCTAAGAGCGACGTCTGGCAGTACGGCATTTTGTGGTATGAGGTCTTCTCCTACGGTGGTGTACCCTATGAAAGTATGTTGGAACTACTACTAAGTGATTTTAAGCAGCCGACCATATAAACTTTATTTTCTTCCACTCTTTACAGAATACACAGTCGAAGAGGCCATTAGAGCAATTTGCAGCGGAGTGATCCTCGATCCACCTGAGGATTGCACTTGGAGAATGTATGAATTGATGAGGTCGTGCTGGCAGCTGGTACCCGAGAACAGGCCAAGCTTTAAGGAAGTAAAACAAAGAGTTGAGTTTATCATTGAGTCTCTGGACGGCAATTACGACCCGACTTGGGCAACTTGCGAGGGTTAGGCATAATTTTTTACAGGACTGATTGTAGTAGTAAATATTTGGTCATATTCTCTTTGTATAAAAATTTTACAGACATTAGGGAAAGTTTAGGGAGAAAAGAGGAGTTTTTTTAATTTTGTACATTAATAAAAAGATGCTACCCATGGACGTTGGAAAAGGGAGCTAGTGAAAAGCTTGTTCCACTACCAATGGTCGGCACACATATGACGGACATTCTGCTACTATTTATCAACATTTGTGTTCGGTACACGGAGCAGTGCGTGACAAAGAAAGTTCTCGTAAAAGAAAACCCAAAATTCGATAATATTTGTAGGAAATCCGAAGTAAGTTACGAAGATAAAAATCTTAATTACAGCAAAACGTTTGAATGGTGCAATAATTCCAAAATAACTTATAACCTTTCTCAAGATTGCTCAAGAAATCAAATTCAATCTGTGTGCGTATGCGTAAATGTGGAAACTGCAGAGTTCTCAGCCAGAACGCTCAGGGGATGTCTCTATTACCAGTGGGTAAAAGAAAGCTGGGTACACGGTGCGTGCGTGCAACAATGGCCTTTGCCTCATTGCGGGCATTAGTACGTTTATAGGCGGCCTCTATGTGATCTTGTACACTCAGGCAAATCAAACGAGTGTGCCAGTTTTAAAACGCTCTAAAATGCTAAAATTTAGAAGCATAAATCGCGAACTTTTAAATAAATAGGACACAGGCATGTTCCATGGACGCAGATTTTCCCAGCGCATTTAGAATTGCAAATCATTTCAGGTATAAGTCAACCACTAGTCTAAAGGGAAAAAAGGCGTAAAAAACTCCAAAAAAAACTTAAGCAAT